GAGAGCACCTAAGGAATTGAAGTTTAGGGATATTACATCATGGAGGATGAAATACAAGGCTTGAATATGCCAAATTCATAGATGGGTGCACTTACCTGGAATTTGAGATTTAATGTGTTAGCCTGAGTACTTGGAAGAGGTGCTATTAATATGCACAGTTGGTTAATACTTGAATATAGAGAAAGGAGTCCAAAGGCTCAGACTGATTGTGGGCAATGTCCTCAGTCGTCTCCTAGCATTCCCTGCAAGACAATCCAGTGGAAAATTTCCTCATCAAGGCATTAACAAATGTATTGGGGGAGGGGCAGCAGGAGTGTCTCCATGATGTCTATACTTTGGAGACCGTTGATGACAGTAGGAGAGGCAGGTATAGAATAAAGTTCTCTCTTCTCAATGGGAATAATGGCATCCCAAGGTGGTAGAGGCCAGGGATGTGCTTAACTGTCATAGGCAAGGTGGACACAATTACCAACTAAGCTTCAGAGATCCATGCCCCAAGGTGAATGGATCATAGAGTTCACAGCAACGGAGATGGGCAGCTTGACCTATGAAACTGGAAAGAATCGGGGTGTGGTGAGAGGAAACTTAAGTCACTATAGAAGGATTAAGGACCTAAATGTGCTCCTGGCCTCAGAGGTCCCTGACGGAAGGGAGGCTGGGTGCCGTGGATGTATTTCGTACTCTTCCCTCACACCTTCCCCCGAGGAACCTGCAACCATTTACCAAGCAACTTTCACATTCATGAAAAGAAATATCTAGATGGTCCAGGTGTTAATAGATACTGGTTCCAATTTTTTCCTGATCCTCAGAGACTTAAAAAGTCCTCTGGTCCATGAGACAGAATAGAGGCTTAAAGAAGTTGAGTGACGGGTGCATTCTCTGGCTAAATCCACACAACTGGTCCCGTGGAACAGTGTGCCCATTCTGTGGTCATCCCCCCAGCTCCAGAACAAATGCTAAGAGAGATTCAAACAACCGTCAGAATTCCCAAGTTTGTTGCCTATGACAGCAGGAAGTTGCCCCATCCCACGTCGAGAGAGTAACACAAAAGAAATATGACATCCTGATGGACATTTTAGAGATTAGTGACTTAAAATTAGCCTGCAAAGTGAGAAACAAATGGCACTAATCACCAAAAAAATAATAATAATAATACAATTATTGGTCCTCTTTTGATTTTATAGGCAACATACAACATATTGGCTTAGCTGCTCTGACCTATTAGCAGGTAACCTCACGAGGCCATGAAACGTGAGGGGACTACAGCAAGCAAAGGCAGCTCAGCAAGCCCAGGTGGTCACACAAGCTGCTCTGTCACTTGGGCCTTATGGAACAGCACGTCTGAAGGCGTCCCCAGTGTTGTGGCAGACACAGACACCAAAGGAAGATGCTGGCAAGCCCTGACAGGAGAACCATGGTACAGACCTCAGGAGCTGGATAAAGTCCCTGCCTTCCTGTTCTGGCTACTGCACTGGTCTCCACTTTAAAAGCAGCTCTTGGATGCCACTGGGCCCTGGTACAGATTGAAGAACTGATGGTGGGAAACAGTGACTAAGTAACTTGAGCTGTGCATCATAAACCAAGTGCTCTCTGATCTGCTGAACCTGCAGGCTGGATGTGCACACTGCTCTGTTATTAAGTATGTCCCATTTATGAGACTGGGCTGCAAGGCACACACAAATTGCAGGAGGCAGCGGCTCAGATTCCCGTGGTATCGGTGTGGCCGGGTGTCAAAGGTAACGAAGCACAGCTAGCAACGCCTCATTACTTTATTAGCTCAGGAAAGACACAATCCTCATCTGGAGCAGAAGGGCAAACACACCCTTCATCTGGATTTTCATGGTGAATTTAGACTATAAAAGTGTGTCCTCGCAGCCGTGTGACCTTTAGGAGTTTAGGCAGGAGGTGCTGGGGGAACTTTAGCTGGCTGTAGCAGTGCAACATTCACAGCAAGCCACGCTTTGTTCCCTCGATGTCTTTTTCTGTCACTGTGAAACAGGATTTAATAAGCATGCACCTACGAATGCTGGAGACAGTGTCAGGAGGGAGTGTGGACAAGCTTGCGTCGCCTCTTCATGTAGCAAAGCTGATGGCACTTTCGATGTCTCGTTTACACAGAAGTGGACTTGTCACCTGCTGAGGAGCAAAACTGGTGGATGGAACTGAGTATCTTCCATCTGCTCCCCCTGCTCCACTCCAACCCTCCTCTCCCTGCTCTCTGTGCAAACACGCTGACCTGTGTGGGCAGCAGCAATGGTCCCTCTCGCCCTCTGGCTCTGGCTGCTTCAGCCCATGCGAAGGACAGGAGGAATCCACAGGGAGGAGAAGCCTAAACTTAAAAGGATTCAGTCCCTCCCTTCCCTCCTGCAAAGTGACTCACGCCGGCACAACCCTCAGGAGAAGCCCACAGCTCCCTGCATCTCCAGGCCCCGGTAATGTCCCTTCCCTCCCCCTTGGGGGCCACAGGTGCCTCCTCTAACCATCCCTATAGCACTGCACCATCCCTGGCTACAGTCACTTCCAGCTACCAAACCGAACAACCGCCGGGTTCCAACCAAGCAAGGGGGGGGCTGCCTGAAGCTCAGGATCGTTATTTTAAAGTAAAACCAGCCATCCCCATGGAATGATTTACCTCAGCAACATTCAGGGACAGAAAAGGTAGCACCGCACCACTTTGTTGGTAGAGTTTTACATTTAAGAACAGAAATAGAAAACTAAGCTAGGAGGGAATTGACATGGGAAGTTAGCAGAAGGGAAGGGCCCATGAATCGGAGGTTTCAGCGGAGGGAAGGTTTATCTTGGACGTGACCTGGAGTAAATGACTGGAAGCGTAGGAGCACCAGAGACTGCTGAGACGAAGAGCTCGAAGGGCAATTCCTGCGGACCGAGTGCGGCGTGGCCTGGAGGTGGAGCACAGGCAGGTGGCTGGGCCAAGGAAATCACAGCACATGAGGCCTGAACTTGAACATCAGGGAAGGCTGGGGGGTGTGTGGGAGAGGGAGGAACGGGCCGGGGCTGGCGGGTTTCAAGACTGAGAAGGAACGACTGGGGAGCTGAGGGAGGTGTCAGCAAGGGGAGGCAGCCGGTGGGGGAGATGGGGCTCGAGTGAACCGGAGGGAGGTGTTGGAGGGAGGAAGGGTGGATGTGAGCTGAGCTGGACGCAGCAGCTGGGCACAAGGAAGACACCAGGGCCACCAGCAGGCATCGCAATGTGGGTAGGAGAGGATACCATGCCTTTTAGTCAAAGGACTCAGGGGACATCTAGGTTTCAGTGTGGCCTGCAGAGAGGGGCAGGAACGGCTGGAAGGCTCCTTCCCCATGCAGCCAGGGGCACGGGCTCCTCCTGAGCGTCCAGTCAGGTACACGCGGAGGCACCTGTGTGATGCTGTCCAAGACCAGAATTTAAAATAAAAACGGGGTTGCATGTCGGCTTCGCTGTCAAGGAATCCAAAGGGCATATTCTTATAAACTCTCCCAACCTTTCAGGAAGGGAGCATGTTGCCGTGTCACAAATTCAGACTCTAAACAGCAGAGAGGGCACACCCACCCTGAGGGTGCGGGTGACAGAAATGGGAGCAGAAAAGTCTCCTGATGTCTTACTGCCCTGAGCATCTTAAACCTTTTGAAGTCAGATGCTTTATATGATCCCTTCTGAGCAGAGTCCCTGGTAAACATGTCCATCTCCAGGTATCACACACAGAAGACCAAAAACGGAAGAAGAGGTTTCCCCCGCATCAGCAGGCACTGAGGAAGCACAGTGGCCAGCCCTCGGCGGAAGCACGGGCACTCGCCCTCTGTTTTCACGACTCCTGCCCCACGTGGCATGCTCTACAGAAGAACTGCAATAATATGACACCAACTGGACCACCAGAGTCCCACCAGGAAAGCAGAGCTGAGGGTATTGACTACACTTTTGTGTGATTGATGCAAATAGCATGCACCGCTCGCAAAACAGAAAATCACTACTTTAGGCTGTTAAATATGTAAAACATTTAAAAAGCACCTATGATCTTTCTGCAAGTCAAATTTCTGGACTTCTAATTAATAACTTAAAAACTCCAGACAAAAATATAAATGGATAAAAGGCAATTTTACATAATGTAAACTACTGAAAATCTAAGAAACTAATAAATTCCAAACCCTTTTGTCAAGGAACAGTTTGCTTTTTTAATATATAAAATGTTTCCTTACAAGCAGTGTACCTTTTCCCAGAAAGAGTCTATATTTAGATGGCATACAATTTGCTGATTATTTTAATATGAAAAGTGATTACATGAAGAAAAACTGTATATAGCCTCAGGAGGAGTGACAATTAAGCAGCACAAGCAATTATGGGTGGATTTGTGTCTTTTCCTAAATAGAATAGCAAGAAGTGTTTTGAAATATACCGATTTTTCTGCAGGGGAATTTTGAGTAAGTTATCTTGTATTTCCTATGTCTTGTCCTTGGGGAGAAAGGACACAAGCAGAGGCCATGATCACCCAGCATCCACAGGAACAGGAGTATGAGCACCAAAGTTCTCTTCCAGTGCATCTCCACTCCGTGGCCTCCCCAGGGTAAGCACCATTTTTTCTCCAAAGAGTGGCATCAGGGTAGTTTTCTGACTGATGTTTGTGATGGATCAAGTTTCCCTTAGTCTTCAAGCGATGGATGTATATCTGTTAGTTCCATCCCACCACAACATGAGCAACAAGGAGATAACACATCCCGATGGTGCAGGACACAACCATCATTGGGAAGCCCAATCTGAAATACAAAGAGAGATGGGTTATGACATCTAGTGTCTGCTGAGTATTATCAGATATGGACTCGTTACCATAACATCTTATTCTAAAAGAATATGGCCTTAGGATCTTTATATATTCACAAAGTTCATTACCTTTTATTTCTAGAGATCAAAAAGTTAGTTTCAGCCTAGATTATGTGGGTGCATGCTTCTGTTAGATATCCCCCATTGAGCGCAATTTCTAGTGGATGTTTGGAGCCTCAGTTTGTTCATTTACAACATGAGAGGCTGGTCTTTCACTCACACTGCCGATGTTGTGTACTGGGCCACTATTTACATCTCTGCATGTTTCCTACAACTGTGTCATCTTCCAATAATCCTTTCTGGAGATTTCCCAGAGAGGCCATATTCCCATAGACTCTTAAAGTCCCTCACATTCAAAGCTGAGGGGAGCTTGAGAAGTAGGGTTGGAAAATAGGGCCATCTCTTGTTAAAGAAAGTAAGAGGGAAGAATAGGATTTTCTTCTGCATTAGTGAGGTGTGACACATGTAGACAGGTACACACAGATACAAACAGAGCCCTAGGAAGATGAAAGCTTTCCTCATCGCTTGGCTCCTCCAATGTGCCCCTGTTCCCATGAATTCTTACCCTAACTTAACAAATGTTGATAGATTCCCACTGCACATGTGGAATCCATGCTCTGTAGCCATTGTTTAGTTCTGCTTTTTCACTAAGAAAGGTCCCTGAAAAGGTTACAGTTTTGGTTTCAAACGGCTTAGAAATTCAGCAGCAAGAGCCCAGTGTGGATAATTATAATTTTAAAGATTATGGCTTTCTTCCTTCCCTGGCCGTGCACGTGGGAAGAAGCTCCTCAGAAACAGCTACAGCAAGCTTCTCCCTACAAAGCGGTGATCTAACACAGAGCTGCATCCGCGAGTGAAACAGCTCTTTAAATTCTCGAGCAGAGTTGGCCATTTCAGGAAGGTAGTAGGATTCTCTTAGCTTCTCTTCTGAAAACATTTTATTTTACCAAAGGAAAAAAAAAAAAAAAGGCACACACATAACAGATTTCAGAAAAACAATTTCAATTTCTTAAGATTTATCAACTTTGGTTTTGAAAATAGCTAAACATGTTTACAAAATGTCAGCCTTGATTATTGGATTCTGGAAAAACACAACCCACGACAGTGTCTGATCAACTCTTGCAAACAGAACACGGGGAATAGATATTTTCAACATCTTTTAAGATAAATGTTGTTAAGTTGGACTGAATTTGGTAAATTAAGAGAGTGTATGTACAAAGTATACAGATGGTGCACATTCCGTGACAGGAAAATATGAAGGGTTTTTTGCACAGATAAAAAAAAAAGTATTAACAGATCCAGATGCTCTCATTTCTTTTCATTGTATCTTGCATCAGCAAAATCTCTGTGCTAAAGCTACTATTTTAAGTGAGACTTTGCAACAAGTTATAAGTATTGGTAGCTACATTCCTGCAAATTCAACAAAGCATCATCAGTTTTGTAACATGTTAAAGTTGAAAGATGAGGTATTCAGTGTGGATTTGCCCTATCATTCTAAAGTGTGTTGGCTATCACAGGGACAGGTGTTAGCCAAAATTTTATCTCTGCAAGAACAGATAGTTAAATTTTATGAAGAACAGAATCAGCAATGTGAATTATTGAAAGAAGATTTCTATAGGAATGCAGCATTTCTGTGTGATATCATGTCAAATCAAAACAACTTGAATATTTCTTTGCAAGGTAAAACTAAGTCTATATATGATATAGGGCAAAAATATCTAAGCATTTCAAAAAAGCTATCTTTTTTCAAAACAACTGTTCTTTAAAAGGAAATTTCAGATGAACAGTTTCCCCAGTTAGCAAAAGTCATTGATGAGCAGGATGTTATATGTGAATCCTTTGAAGAATACGCAGCAGTTATAGACCTATTAATTGGAGAATACGATGAAAATTTCACTGACTTTGAGAATCATGACATCACACTCAA